CCACTTCACCCCCCCCATCCCTGAGAATGCTTCAAATTCCCCAGACATAACTGCTCAAAACAATATCTGCACTCTTCTACAGAAATAACACAGTAAATGTTCCCATATAATCAAAAGCTTGTTTTTTTTTTTTTCATTTTTTTATTGAGGTTCTCTCAAAGTCTAAACTCTTGTCGTCCTGGTTAGATGCTGCTTCCCACATAGTTTTAATCAGAAAGGCCCTCGAATCTACAAATATCCTGCCTCTCGAAAAACTGAACATGAAGTGCCAGACCTGTCAAACAACACGGTTGCTGTCGTCGCTGCTTCAGCTTTTTCACCGTGTCTGGCATGCATCATTCAATGTCAGGCCATTTCCCACGCCAAACACTGTAAAAGAGAAAAAGAAGAAAGTCCTGTCAAGTTTTTCCACTTGGTTTTGTCCTCTTTTTCTGCCTCTGTGTTTTTTTCACCTCAATATCTATTTGTCCCCTTTTCTTTTCACCTCTTCCCTCCTCCGCCTCCTCCTCCTCCTCTTCTACCACCTTCCATCCCTTCTCCTCCTCCTCCCAAGCACGTCTAACATGTCATTCTTCGTCTTTTGTACCTACAGGCCTTTTTCCCTATTGAACTCCCCACCCTCTCCACTCCTTTGGCTCTCCCTTTCCCTCTCAGGGGCCTAATTATGAGCCGGCATTAAATAAAAACATTTATATTTCTCCAAAAAAAGGCTCCTCTCTCTGTGCTTTCTCTGGACAATGAGGGCTTGTGATTCTCTCCTCCCTCCTGCTCCCTCTTTCTGTTTCTTTCTCCTCTGAGTGGCCATTCACTGGGGGTCTCTGTCTGTCTTTGTGATTGGCTCGCTCTAGGACTCCTAGGGGGCAGTAATTGTGTCTCATTAAGTCTTACAGTAGTTGTGAGGGGAGTTGTAGCGGGGTGGGAAGTGAGGGGGAGTTTGCAGCACAAGGCCCCCGCAATTAGAAATCCCAGAGAGCTTGAATGGGAGTCCTAATCAGGCCACAATGGCTGGGGCTCCCTGCCATTTAGGCCAAAAAGGAAGTGTTGCCATTGTCCAAACACACACACACACACACACATGCAGAGACACGCACACACACCAGGAATGCATGCAGCACAGCAGGGATGGATGTACTTGTGTGGTGGCGTCATCCCAGAGGCCAATTTGGAAAGACTGGGCGGGGGAGGGAGGCTTTTCACCACCTCAGTCACGATACACACATTCATGTTCACACACATGCACACACACACTTTTCCATCCATATTGAAGCTGAAAGGGGTCTCATTAGTGATGTTCAGGATGAGCTGGGAGTTTGCTCTCTGTTTGCTCATTTGTCGCCCTGTGATTCCTCTCGCTGCACACCGGAGTTCCTCAGTTTTTTTGTGTGAAAAACATTTTTCTGTGACGATCACATTTCAGCGGGGCTAATAAAATCAGCATGCTCTGTTGTGGCGGATACATAAATAACCCATGCACATCGTCTCGGTGGAAATTCAGTTAAAATTTCAGCGTCTGTGAAATAAAGAAATAAATAAAAGCATACAAATAATGATATTCCACCACCATCTGTCTCTAAAAGGGAAATGCAGAGGAAAGTGAAAACTTTGCAAAGCCTCCCTGTTTTTTTATCTCATAATAGGAGCAGAAAGTGGGTCTCTTTTGCTCCGTTTATCTGTGTAGCGTTCCCAGGAGAAACAGTGGCTACCCCTCCTTATCTTTGTTACCGCCGAGTGCTGCAGTGGATTATGAAGTGGATTATGCAAATGCCTCACAATATATTCATATTAACAAAGGTTGAGGTTCATGCGCCCGTGCCCGGAATTTATGAATACGCAAATAATAAAAAAAAGGAGCAAAAAAAAAAAAAAAAAACCCTGAATTGGCTGGAATGTGTTATCATTTAATGGAAATGAACTTGCTTCACAGTGGTGTGTGTCGTGTTTTGGCTCATTTGTTAATTTGTCGAATTAGCTGCATCTGTAAAAAAAAAGGAGTGATATCCAATTTAGCCAATTGTTTTTAATTATTTTAGTGTCACTCAATGACTGATACACTTGCAGGTATTACACATGGATGATTGTGTGGATCTGTTGTGTCACAGAAGAACGGATTCTCTGTTGAATATTGATGTCTACAGTACATAGTTTATAACTGTTGCATTGATACAAATTGAAGTTAGGAGTGCTTTTATTTAACTTTGTAATTATTTTTTCAAATTGATGCCAAATGTGAAAAAACCATCATCCTCTCAATGCTGGCTGACAGAAGACACATACACCGAGAGGCTGCTGCAGAAAAAAAAATTGAAGGTCATACAACAATGAAGCTGTTTTACATTCAGCATATGCAAACTCAATTTGCAGCTCATCTTCTGAATGGACTTGGTCTAGAAATATTAACAAGTCTACATTTAAGGATTTATAGGTCAAAACATGATGAGGTGACAAGGTTGAAACTGGGCTAAATGTGTTTTGAAAAGTAAATGTTGTTCACACTGTACCGAATGATTCTGGTTGTGTCATACAGGATGTGATATTTCAAGTTTGATTTTAATCAGTTTAAATTGTGAAATATTTTTATTAATTCAAGAAACCTGAACAGAATATGGTAGACAGATGATGTGATTGCCTGATACTCACCTGTGCAGGTGCCGATTACATGATGTGTACTTAAGGGCTTACTATCTCCTCTTCTGGCCAGAATTTAAAATAGAGATGGCTGTAAAGATAAAGGAGTGCTTATACCTGTTGCTCTTAAAGGGAGGAATCTAAAACTTGTCTTACTGCCAATCACTGCACGAGTATGCACCCATAGCTGGACTCCCACCACCTGATGATGCTGTTAAGAAAATTATAGTTATTAAAGTTATGACTCATCTGATGCGCTTTGCCTCAACTCATCAGTGTGTTGTGAAAAAGCAACAGCTAATTTCTCCTGATGTGAAGAGCAGAGTGAGATGTGCTGTGAAAAGTCACTTAAACTGTAAAATAAATAAATCAATGTCATCTGAATGTGGGAGGCAAAGGAAATCATAACAGGTCTGACATCTTTACAGGTGAAGGTCGCGGTTTAAAGTCACATGTTCAGACCTGACGACTGGCTGGGAGGCAGGGTGTGGACCGACAATAGGAAACACAGTCTACTCTTTCAACAGATGCAGTGGTCGACTGCAAGGCATCCAGTGTCAGCCAAGCATGACATGCTCACAGTTAAAGGTGCACACTGTATCTTTAAATAAACAAGAAATGCTTACAATGACAGTGTAACATGAGACAGGTTGCAATAGTAATGACCTCGTAGAGAGTCAAGCCCCAAATAACTTTAACCCTGTTTTTCTACACTACCTAGCATTATTCACCAACTCATCACTTTCACTACTTTTACATCTGGTGATGACACTATTCTGGAGTTTTCTTCCATTGGTCAAATAACTAGCTAGCAGTCAGCTTTTGTCGGCAAAGGAAAAGGGTTTGATTGACACTGATGCCTTGGTTAAATGATTCTGCAGGTTTGGCTCTGGGTTTGACAGGCTCTGATTGACCTTGATCTAAACACTCATCTATGTATAGTAGTCAGGCCTGTCACCTGCTGGTAAACTGCAACTGAACTTGAGGAACAGAAGTTATCTCAAGGTATTTTTCAACCAGAGCAGGTCTAGACCTTATGTTGGTGACAGTATTTACAGTGACCCAGTCTTGGATTGAGATGTCTCACATGCATGTTGCAGGATCCTCCTCTGCCAGGGGAAGAAATGGGAAAGTTCTCTGTTATGAGTCAGATGACTGGCAGCTCACTCTTCCTCTGCTCTGTAAGTGCAGGTGCTGATATAACTTCTTGCAGTTATGTGCATTAGGTCTGAACAGATATGCAAACTCAACTGGCAGTGTAAAAGGGGGTCACTCTGCTTGTAGCATCTTTAGCATGCAGCTGAAAGTTAACTATCGAGGATGCTTAGCAGGATGTTTTCACTTGATTTGTGAAGTGCAGCGTCTCTGAGCGTAATATCTTTACTGATTTCTACTGTGCACAGACAAGGAGCACCCCTTCGATAGCTCAGTTGGTAGAGCGGAGGACTGTAGGAGAGCAGAGCAGTGCTGATATCCTTAGGTCGCTGGTTCAACTCCGGCTCGAAGGAGGACATTTTACAGGTAAGGTTGTTGGACCCACCCGAACTGATCATGGGTCCCAAAAGAGTGAACACAGTCCCCACAACATGAGTAAAACCATCACAGACACACACTGTCTAACCTCCATCTTAACCTTAACTTCACATTTTGGGGAGAGAGAGAGAGAGAGAGAGAATAGTGGCTAATATGAATTTGTGCACGTGTGTTACTGAATTGCTCACAGATGAGCAAGTATGATTTAGCATATAACACATACATATTTAGTATTATGTTTATTGCTGTACAGTGCACAGTACAGCCCATTGCATTCTTGGAGTGAGAGTCTGACATTGTGAACATTAAACAGAGAGCTGCCTGCCACGATTGAAATGCTCCTAATGCTGGACACATCCGATGAAGCTCCACCTGTAAAAACAGTCCTCCTTCGAGCCGGAGTTGAACCAGCAACCTAAGGATGTCAACATTGCTCTGCTCTCCTACAGTCCTCCGATCTTCCAACTGAGCTATCGAAGAGACGTTTTGTTTTGTGCACTTCTACAAACCCAGCTTTATCATTAAGGCTGATAGAAAAAAATGTTCGAATAAACATTTACACAGATTCCTCACGCATACTTCGTCAAATTGCTCATATGTGATCAATTCAATAACACCAGTGCAATAATTTCATATCAGCCATTTTCCTCTATGTGCAGGTGTCATAGTCAGGCCCAGGCTTAATTTGTGGATGTGAGTTTCAAATGGTCTGACAGAGTCTGTATAATGAGAGGTTCAGGTTAGAGAGTAAGTGTCTGTGTTGGTTGGGGGGACTGTTTTCACATAATGGGGACCCATGGTGAGTTCAGGTGGGTCCAACAACCTCACCTTTAAAAACCTCTTCCTTTGAGCCGGAGTTTAACCAGCGACTTAAGGATGTCAGCACTGCTCTGCTCTGTTCTCCTACAGTCCTCCGCTCTACCAACTGAGCTATCGAAGGGATTCACTCTTTTGCTGTACTGTGCACTGTAGAAAAATCTACATTATTAATGATGATAATAACAATAGAACAAATTCTATGTATATGTTTAATTTAAAACATGATAAAACTGGAGATCTGTAATAAATTCAGATGTTCTCATCTGACTCAGCTGTGAACATGACTGTTATCTCACAGGGTCACTATCAGTGCCAGTCCCAGTGTATCATTTTTCATGTTGGGAACGATTTGCCCTCAAATTTCATGACCTCATGCCAGATTACGTTACAGCTCTGTGTGTTCTTGTGAGCGGGAGCTGAATGGCTGACCAGCTGAACCAGTATGACTGGGAATTCTGTGCATTGGGAGGAGGAGGAGGTGGTGGTGGTGGTGGTGGTGGAGGGTGGGGGTTGTAATGAGTTTCATCTCCGCAGCAGGGAGAGTGGTCTTTGGGTGGCAGTAGCAGCAGGGACGAATCTTGCGGCTAATTGGTGTTATCAGCATTTTAAACACAATTAATGACAGTTCCTTCTCTTCTTCCTCTTACCTAATTGTAGGTGATAATTATTGTTGGGGACCTCATTTACACAAATAATTAACAGATGTATGCTGACAAATAGGCCTACTTGATTCTTTGCAAATCCCTGCACCATTGTATTGTTAATTGGGCTGAATGTAAGCAGATACTCTGACGTGTATCCCCCCACCTCCTAAGCCTCTGAATAAACAGCCTCAACCTCAGGAGGTGTGTTCCTGCTAAAGCCCAGATTGAGTTTTGCATTGTTGGCCCAGTTAAGTGAAGCTACAATAATAAGGTGATGAACAGTTTGTTTATTGGGGACTTTACGACTAACAGCCCCACACTGACCGACTGAAAAAAAAAAAAGCTTTATAACCATAGGATGTTAAGTAAATACTAATAATAAATATATATATATATATATATATATATATAAACATTCAACAGTTTTTGCAGAAAAAAACAGGTCATGTAAAAGAAGAACCTAAGAATGACTTTTCTGCTGTCTTATGTAATAATTCTCCTGCTAACTATGTTCCACATTAATGACCATTGTTTTGTCTTTGTTTTATTCTTCACATTGTTTCAATTGTTTTGCAGTTTACACAAATTAATTAGTACAGGATACTTTTATTACAAACAACCCTATACGGTGCAGCTGGGGACACTTACAAGGATAATCTGGGTCATTTGATATGAAGTTGTGTTACATACATACATATAATAATATGAATAGTTTGCAGGATTGGACACACATTTCATTATAACCTACAAATCAGTAAAGACAACCTCAGCACACTCCTGTCCTGACTCTGTGTCCTGCTTAACATGTTTCCTTTAATTTCTACTGTTTCAATTGAAAGTTTGTGGCCTGCGAAATCGGTACATTTCACATAAACAGGAAAAAAAAAATCATCAAAGTATCTTAGCTTAGGATGATTAAATCTACAAAAACAAACTAAACACATCATCACAAGTTGAGGATAAGGATAAAATATAAAAGTAATAACACTGTTCAACACTTGTCATTGCATTTGGTGTTTAGTAGAATCAGGATTTAGTTTGACACTGGCAACTTTTTGCACAGTGTGGTATTTTACATCAGTAGCACAAATGTCCAGACAGTGCAGCGCCTCCTGAGCTAATCATATAAAACAGCCTGTTAGTGCCTCTGACAGTGCACACCAATATGACATCCGTGACTGTGCCACGTTTCCACCGAGCAGGTTCCCAAGTCACAATAATGGCATGAATCATGCTTGTGATGGCTATTTGTAAGGGGTTTCCCACCCTACCATGAACAAGGGGGAGGGTGGGGGAGCTGGGTGGGGGGCTTAGCAGAGAGGCAGTGTGTGTTCACAGGCATTGTCTCTGGGCTAGGACCACCCGTTCCCCCTCGCTGTCCCACTGTCACTCAAACAATACAATGCTACAACTCCTATTTACCCCCCCCCGGCTTCAACCTATTTACCAGGCTGGCCCCTCCCTGCTCCCACCACCCACACTCTGGACACAAGGAGTGGTGACACAGTGTTTTTTTAGTGGTTAATGTGGACTATTAGTCAACAGCTGGGCCACGATTCATTCAGAGGGAAAGTCAAGTCAAGACACGGTGGCTTTGCATAAGCATGTTGCAATACAGGGCAAAGGATATGAATACAGAGCAGTGGTAACAGGCCTGTGTTTTCTGCTCCAAGAGAGGTGTGCATTTTGATGACACAAAGTATCTCTGGACGTTAATTATTAATATCCTTGAAAAAGTTATGTGTCAACACACCATGTTAGTTCAAACAGGTACAAAACAAGTGTATGGTCTCTGAGCAGGGGGTAATTATTGATTTGTACTGTGCACTAACAGTGAGTACCCCTTCGATAGCTCAGTTGGTAGAGCGGAGGACTGTAGGAGAGCAGAACAGTGCTGACATCCTTAGGTCGCTGGTTCAACTCCGGCTCGAAGGAGAATTTTCATAGGTGGAGTTGTTACAGAGAACAGGTTGCTAATAGTTAAAGTTAAAAAAAACTCACTAGTGTCTCTGCCCATTTAGAACATCTCCATGATGGCAGCCAGCTCTTGTGACGAATGTCCACAACTGAAACTTGGGCCTGATTGACCACAACGGCCTATGTGAGGTTGTTACATTATTACTTGATCATGGCTTTTGCAAAATATCCAAAACAGAACAGAATTTATGGAGAAATGCATCATTACAATTATTTGACTTTAACACTTTCAGTTTGTAAAAGTGGCCCATGTTGACTTCTTCCTTTGGGGCTACTTTTATTCCAAAAGGAGTAAAGTAGTTCAAAATGAAAAAAGGTCAACTTGGGCAGAGCAGTGCTGACATCCTTAGGTCGCTGGTTCAACTCCGGCTCAAAGGAGAAGGTGTTTGGATGCATTTCCCAACACAGGAAACAACAGACACCGATGGCAACATTCAACAAACTCATGTTCCTCCCTGTGAGTAACACATTAGTCATTGAATTTAACCACAAATATCATTAAACATGTTCCTGTTCTAAGCTACACACCTATAAAGTTGTGCCACTGTATCTGATGCAGTTGTTTCTATCACAACAAGCTTGGCAGCAGTTTAAATTCATTATCCATTATCCATTAAATAAATCACGAGTAGTTGAAGCTGATAATATCTGGTCAGGAGGTGAGTCCAGACTACAATTCTACTGTTGATGTTGCTTAAACTAATGTGTCAACCGCTTATACTGCAACCATGTATTTAAATGAAATGGGTCATTTTCTGTACCTCACTTTTTAATTCATTTTCCATTGAGTAATTGACTTATAGATGCACAAAACCCCACTGTCAACATATCATGTGTATTTTTGTATAATTCATGTATATTCTTTTCTAAAAGAATAAATCCAAACTGTCACAGTCATCTCGGACTGCAGCTGAGGTTTTGAATCAATCAATATGAAATCAGTATTCAGATACAGCAACAGAGGGGGTTACAGAGAGCAAGAGTGAGGTACCACAATATGGCCTTGTGGGTCCCAGGGGGTTCTCTCTCTAGGTTTTTTGGCCCTGGTTTCATCCAATCAGAAGTGAGTCTGACTTTGTAGACTGATGTCTCTGTGTAGGCTTAGGCAGGAGCAGGCGTGAATTGTGCCTGCGGCCATGCTGACCGGTAGTCAGGCAGGAGTCAATATGGCTCCAGGCTAAAGCATCTGTGCAGACAGCTAGCTAGGTAGCCATGCTTACATTTTCTATTACACGTTAGGAATTAAACTGATGTTGTTTTTCCAGAGCAACTTAATAATGAGTGACACATAACCTAAATCCCCTGATCATTCACTGGACATGCAGTAGAAAAAAGAATCCAAGGACGTAGTCCAAGCAGCAAGTTATAAATCATCATGGATGACAGATAAACACCACAACAGGAAACAGGAGCTGAGGTAGAAGGATCTGCATGAAGCTAACATTAATTTTGTGTGACTGGTCTTGGCTTCACTCACTTGACAAATTCACCAAGGAAATAATTGTCCTGACAGTGACCTGGCAGGCACAACTACGGTGCACTTAAGTATTTATTTGGCATGTCTTCTGATTGACAGGGAAATGTTTTGTCATATTGTTATTTAACAGTGAGCACCTGTTGGCAAGCAGTGGGATATTGCCGTCTCTGCTGGGAGTTTGTGCTATAACCTTTCTCACTTTGCCAGTGCTGGATGTCTGTCTGTGCAGCAGGAAGAAGATGACAGTTCATTCTCGTCACATGAAGTTCCCAGTCCATCATAAAGCTTGATTGGATGTAAGCTTTTAAAACAGAGCAGCACATGCTTTAAAGTCATCTAGATGAATTGAAAAGTGAAAGTTAAACCATTGAATGATCAGTAACTAGGTCATACGAGATCATACAAATCACCAAAATTTGTCTCACACATTGTTTTCCATTTTCATAAGAGGTTGGAGCTTGGAAAAACAAACACAGGAGCTGGAAAAATGGACATTTTAATACAATGAAATGAAAATATAATGATGTCATACTTGTGAATATTGGATTCCAATGCAAACAATTTAAAAGCCGTACAAACTTACAAAAAAACATGTCAAGTGCATGTTCTCATATGCAGTCAGTTTAGCATCTGCACTAGCTAGGTGAAATCTTTTTCTGGAGTTGAACATGGAAAGTTGTTGGAGGAATTAATACTGGGCAATGTATTAAAAGGTAAAACTTACAGTCTGTTCAAAGTTAAACAGTGTAAAATAGAGAGTCGTGGCCTTGTTTTAATCAGTGAGTGAATTTGGGGGTCAGACATGGAGACGTTGTGGCTGCTCCTCGCTCACATCCTGGGTAGTGTTTTTGTGGTGGAATGCTAATGACGGTGAATCACAGGTCTCCGGTCGATGTGCTGGAGGGAGTGAGGAAGTCAGGAGACCACCCAGATCTCCTCCCCCGTCTCCCTCTGAAACACTTAGCAGCGTAATTATATGGGAGTGACTTATGGAAAACACTCTCTGTGCAAATATGGATTAAG